CTGTGAGCCGAGGTGGTAAAGGGCCAGCTATGCCAGGCCTATTCGCTCCAGGGATTCCATCCCACTTGATGTTCTTCATAGGGAATTGCTGTGGTCCCTTTCTACCATCAGAGTGGTAGACCAGGATATGTCTCTCAGACTCACATGGGGCCAGATTCTGATCTTGTTTACACCAGTGTAAGACTCTAGTAATTCAACTGAAGTCAATGGAGTTACTCTAAATGTACACTGGTGTAACTGGTATCAGAAACTGACCAGGAAGGAGTCTGTGTCAGCATAACAGATGTGCTGAAAGGGCCTTAGACTTGTATGCATTTCCCAAGGTGGAACTTGCACTCCTTCCCCCTGACACATCACCCCTGAATTTGGCCCACTGAATTTAAATACATTCTACATTCTGAATGTTCTATGAGTTTAAATTCTTCTCTCACCCTGATGTAAATCAGGAGTAGTGCCACTGAAATCAATGGCATGAGACTGGTGTACAGCCATTGTGAGAGGAGTATCAGGCACTGAGGAGCTGGAGGAGAAAGGTGCAACAGGAAAAGTAACTAAGAAGAGGATGCAAAACATAAAAAAGTTAAAGTTGCCCATCCCACTTTCAATCGGTTAAGCATATTGGGCCAAGGTGGGGTGTAAGGTATATGTGAATAATTGGTTGGAAGTCTTAAGATATGTCTGTCCTGGAGCTGGAAGGTGTAATTTCCAGTTCAGGCAGACATATGCACACTAGCTCTGATCGAGCTAGCGTAATAAAAATAGCAGTGTAGCTGCAGCACTGCAAGCAAGAGTACATACCTAGGGGTTCCGATGGAATTGTACTCAGGGCAACTAGTCTGTTCCACTGCCCATGCAGCCATGGCTACACTGGTTTTTTTTTTTTGGTAGTATGCTAGCTTGGTCAGAGCTAGCTCAGGTATGTCTACCCAGCCTGGAAATTACCCCTCCGGCTCCAGTGAAGACATAAGCTCTAGTAAACTCAGTTAGGGTAAGATAGTGTTTAGACACCTTCCAACTTTAACTAGAGTTTCAGCAATTTGTGTTTGTATTTAAGGTAAGAACTCTACGAACTATACTTAGAGCACACATATTGGTGACAATTACAGACCACAGAAAACTGTAAGCTACTAGCCTTGGGCAACCTCTCCAAATGCAAGTGACAAACAGCCAAAGTGGGTGGCACTGGCTGGGGGCTGCAGAAAGGGGTAACAGCAGCTTTGCAATCTACTCTCTTTGATCCCATGGTGGGCCCTAAGCCTCAGAGCTTTGGGTTGAAGCTCTCCTTATTGAGAGAGGACAGGGAAAGAAGAGCAATGGATTCCCATGGTGTTCTTACCTCTGAGCCTGGAAATAATGAAGCTGTCATGGCAATGCTTCTTAAGAAGTCCTACTGCCATGGGAGGCAGCCATAACTATAGTGGAACTAATCCATGATGGGGTTACACCTTTCTTTCCATATAGCATGGTTTGGAGGCCATGTCTCCCTGCCTCCCCCTCTGAGGGTAGCATTCCATAAAAACTCAGAGATGAATGTCTCGGAGTTCTTGGGCTATCTATCCCTTCTTCTCCCATGGCTTTTACTACGGAGGTGTAGGATATGGCCTATGGCCTAAATTCCATTAAATACAAAAAACTGTCAGTGCAACATTAAGATTGCTTGATTAAACTATAAAAAAAGTCAGGAAATGCAAACATTAAGGTTTGAACAACAAGTTTAACTCAGCCACGCTATGAATTATTTTTGTTTTATGTCATGAACAGGAATATATTAAAAATGCCAAAGAGTCAAAAAACAAAGGCTTGTGCCCTTTTATGCTTCTTTATAATTTGTTTAAAAAAGTCCTAAACAATTTCCCCCACTTTTAATGTTCTTATTTTTAATCCTAGAAATATCAAGTCTTTACTTCTCTGGCTTTGCTGGAGGACCTCTGAGGGGTGTCAAAGATCTATATTTTGAAGTCTCATACCTTAACTGAAGGGAGGAGGGTTTTGAAATTTTAACAGAGATGTCCATTCAATTCGTCTGAGGGCAGCATTGCTAGGGAACTCACTGAGGTGTTAATGTACTTTTTTTTTTTTAAACAAATTGCTTTGTGTGACAGTGTTAGCATTTAAATAGTTCCAGTTAGGCTTAGAAGTTTACCACTTACTGAAATGAACTGGATGGTAGAGGAGTAAAATCTCACATTTGCCACTTGTATCGTTTGGCTGGCAACAGCTTTCTGTCATGCAGCTGGATATTGCTATAGCTGTATCATTTCAATGGAAAAAGAGATCGTATTTAAGTGAAAACCTAGAGTTAGTAGATTACAGAAAGCCTCAAAGCAAGACTCTAAAGTCATACCATTCCTTGATTCTGCCTGATATTTTCTCCTTTTCCTGATGCTGTCTACAGAGGATTTGTTGAAAGTGGGTCAGTGAGACGTTACAATCTTCTTTATACAAATTAATCCAGCAGTTGCCTGAGAGCACCAGACCCCGTGTCTGATTGTCTTCTGCATCAGGCCAGGCAGGGAAATGCATAACACCATGATTAAGAGTCAATGAGCACTGCTAAAATCTTGGCTGATGCCTATTGGATGTGATCAAAAGTGATTGTTCAAATCGTACAATTTTTCCATTCAAATCAAGGAAAGACACTTGTCTTCAATGGGGACTCTCCACATACCAAGGTCCACGTGTTATGCTTCAGCTAGTTTGTTGTGTCCCATTCAAATAAGTGTTTTTTCTCTTTTTTACAATGGGAAAGTTGCATTTTTCCCTAATCACTCATAACTCAGAAACATATGAAGACCAAATAAATCACCCTTGAGCAAAAAACAGGAATGGAAAATGTCAGCCTAAAGGTGTTTTGTTTTTGTTTTTTAAGCAAATTCAACACGTGAAAACAGGTATCATAATGGAAACACTTTTGCAACCTTAACTACATTGACTTCTTTTAGGCACCTGCTGTAATAATGTTCTGATTCTCAGATGGAAGTTTAAGTGAAGTGCTATAGACTGTACTTCAGAAACTCCATGGGGTTAACTTGCTGTTGTTGTTATTCTTCACCCAAAGTACTGTCTGATACATTTTGCTAAATTGTCTAAATCCTGCTGTAGTATTGATTTCTTCTTCTAAGAGCTCTCACCCATTCAGTAAGCTCCAAGGACCCCTTGTCCTGGCTCAATTCACTCTAAAGCACAGCTGGGATATGTTATTCCTGACAATGGTCCTAGAGTTAATAACTGATTGGTAGGAAGTATAAGATGATATTAGAAACAAAAAGGGAAATGTTGCTTTACCAAGAAGAAATAAATCATCATTATTATAGTTCCTTAGAAATATCACTATTTTTCCTGGAGAAACAGATTTTTTTTCTTTTTTGCAAATCCTTTAGGATTCTTTGAAAACAGCTGGTTTTCCATTTACTGAACACTTAACAGTAGCTACATTGAATTTATTAAAAGGAGAGTATAGCATTCATAATCCCAAGCCTGCAGAACCATTAAAAGTAATGAAAAGACACAAGTAGATGTGTAAAAAGTAAATTAACCATTCAGGCAGCATGGTCCAGAGGTTCCTTTCTCATAGTATCACGGGAGGCTGCTGGATAGATTCTACATCAATGCATTCAAATCAACCTTAAAATGGGCAATCTTTACTATTATTATTATTTTTACTGTTTTCATGCCTACATATTTTTTTTCCTTTGGTATCCAGTTAACATTTTTTTAAAATTCTTTTCATTATCCTCAGGCTGATTTAAGACAAGACAACCAAAGAATTGGCTGCTTGAAGAAACACATTTCTTATTATGGTGTAGTATCACTGTTTCTTAGGCTAGTTTAGTCACTTATTTCTTTCTATTATAATGCCAAATGTTATTTAGATTTCAGTCATTTAGTAATGCTACGCTGAACACATAAAGGATTCTGAAAAATTCCATACCTACTAGCCTCTTCATTTTCATAATAATCACATATTGACATCCCTTTCCCCCCAAAATTACATACACTGTTATTTTAAAAATATCTTAGTGTCTTAACACAGTTAAAGAGATTATGATGCAATGAACAGCAGTCTTCAAAAACATTAATTCGTGTTATTAAGATACAGAAAATCTAGTTAAAATTCTTTCAGCTTTTAAGGAGCATAAGGAGCTCTGAGATGTAAAGCCTGACACTAACTTTTTAACTAACTCCCCTGGAGCCATCATCTGCATTAGTGAAGATATTTAGTTAAAGGTAGCACCCTACTCTGCTTTACAGCAATCTACTAGTCAATTTAAATGTTGTTGTTATTTGACATAGCTGAAACCAAGGATTTACATAACAAGGAGAGAGTATATATATATATATATATATATATATATATATATCTCTCT